GTTAAGAACTGTGATAATCAGGCATTTTCGAAAACATATAAATTGGTCGAATAATTGTGAAATATATCAGTGGTCAGAGTTGTAGAATGGAAGATTTTACTTTGAATGGAGAGCTACTGCCTCGAGCCACAAAATAGACAAAAAAGCGGCACTTGAAAACTGGGAACTACAAATAACAATAGTCTATAAATACACACAGTAATGCTGTTGCAGAAACCCCACAACATTTCCCGGCTTTGTATGGTGTGACATCATGACGGTGTCTTCAAAGAAGGGTGCGCATTCATATTCCTTCTGTCACACCATTCAAATCAGTTTCCATGAGCAGTACTTCAGGCCTTTCTTATTCCGAAGAAAGACGATAAGTGCACAAGCCTCCCTACTACGTCACTCAGTGACGCAGTATATTCGTACTAAAGAAGCACTTGCAAAATGTGATAGTCGAGTTTATCTCGACCGCCTTGCCTAGGGACTTTTTGTTGCGATATGCATCGTCCATATATGTATCATTTTTTCTCAATACAGTTTAAGTTGCAAGTCAGCGCCTGTTCCGTGTTTCTTCGTCCTCGTTCCGAGTGCGCTGCATTAACTAAAGATGAACGTCTGCCCACCCGCTCAAGCTTATATTCTCATGCTTCAAATTGCATGAGGATAATTCACACTCATTGATGTCCGCAGAACACGAAATTAATAATTCATGCGTGTAAATGTGAAAGCCTTCCAGCTTGCTTCCCAATCGCACGGCCTTGAACAATAGCTGAAGTAAGTATTAGGAACTAAAAGGCGACAAATGTCAATTCTGTTACCTACTTTTCGGTGAAAATAAAGCGGCAGTTGAACTTTCATTGTACCGAGCTCTAGGGTAACCCTTGAGACGTCTCTATATCTTTGCAGTTCATTCGTCGTACATTCTCCTCAGAAGGATTTAAGGCAACAGTTATCTTCTTTCTCTTCGAAGTCGATGTAATTAGCGAGCAGAGAACCCAACCGGTGTCTTGTCAGGCGGTACTGCCAAGCGGCATCTTCAATTCTTCTTTTGACGCCGCGTGCGCTCCAGTGTTGTTCGCCGCCCATTTATTATTATTACTATTATTTGGTTTGTATACGTAGAAAAGCAGGAGACACGGAGGAAATATGGAGGGAACAGGCTGACAACGTTATGCCCACCTCGTAACGTCGTGCTCATTTCAATGTGACCTATCAACCTTCCTCATTCGTGCTTCGCATATCATCGATTTCCACTGTACGTGCACCATGGGATCTGCCAAATTTTTATGCCATTCATTGGCGTGACACGTTTGCTTTACCCATCTGGGCAGACTCGCTAATATTAAATGGGAAGTATTTCCTTGCGTAACGCAGGCAATTTGAACGTTCATTATCTATCTATCTATCTATCTATCTATCTATCTATCTATCTATCTATCTATCTATCTATCTATCTATCTATCTATCTATCTATCTATCTATCTATCTATCTATCTATCTATCTATCTATCTATCTATCTATCTATCTATCTATCTATCTATCTGTCTGTCTGTCTGTCTGTCTGTCTGTCTGTCTGTCTGTCTGTCTGTCTGTCTGTCTGTCTGTCTGTCTGTCTGTCTGTCTGTCTGTCTGTCTGTCTGTCCGTCTGTCTGTCTGTCTGTCTGTCTGTCTGTCCGTCCGTCCGTCCGCCCGTCCATCCCATTCCATTCCATTCCATTTCATTCTATCTATCTATCTATCTATCTATCTATCTATCTATCTATCTATCTATCTATCTATCTATCTATCTATCTATCTATCTATCTATCTATCTATCTATCTATCTATCTATCTATCTATCCATCTATCTATCTATCTATCTATCTATCTATCTATCTATCTATCTATCTATCTATCTATCTATCTATCTATCTATCTATCTATCTATCTATCTATCTATCTATCTGTCTGTCTGTCTGTCTGTCTGTCTGTCTGTCTGTCTGTCTGTCTGTCTGTCTGTCTGTCTGTCTGTCTGTCTGTCTGTCTGTCTCTAGCCACCTACAGCCTGGTGATCTCGTGACGACCTCCTTAATTTGAGGTAGGCTTAAATTAGCATGGCAAGATAAGAGGATTGAACGAATATGACCCGTTCGTCATGAAATAATTTCCAGGACAGTCTCGTCGCGAACGTCATGAAAGCCTTTCCTCCAGGTAAGCTTTAATTCCACATCCCTGTACACCACGGGGCAAGGTATGTGCCACATGTGGTTGACAGTTTATATCTACCCATTATCGTGAGAACAGACATTGGTAATTTTAGCAGGAAACAAACATTAAGCAAAGAATGACAACATCAGCAGCGTTGATGCGGCAAATGCAAAGAATGTGAAGATCCCAAAAGGAATCGAACTGTAGCATTCTGCGTCGTAATAAAGTGTTCTAGCACAAAGCGACGCCAGGTCTCCGAAATTCTTTTGAAAGACCCTAATGTTCTTGAAACGTCTATTGTGGTTGCAGCACTGGCTTCCTATTTATATATAGACATCATTTATGTTCTCCTGCCATACAGCCGTCACGTCAAGTTAGCGTCAATTGTAGTGGGGTGCCCTCTTCTGAATTTGAGTTAGCAGTTTTGTCAAGGGCTACCATCCTCGAGAGCACAAGCTGGGCATATCAGCTTACCGCTTCTAGTATTGCTAATAACCATGTTGCTGTTGGCACCGTTACGCTACTGTAAAGTGGTTATTTCAAACATGTATGCGACTATTCAACATGTCTGTGCGTGCCACTGTACATGTATTTAGGATCTTTCATAATGTCTCGCTCAATAAAAAAATTACAACACAGTCACCTTTGCCCCGCATGCTTCGCTTAGCACCGATTCCCAAAGTACGCGGGACCTGCCTAACTTCTCTGTCTATCAAAATCGATAGCTTAAGGTATAGAAGTTAGATGCATTTGAAAGGGCTTTTGCGCATCCAAGTACCACGAAGAGTTGTCTTGTTGCAATCGCCTCATCAAGATATCCAAGCTTGCTAAGAGTAACATGTGTACGTGTCACTAGGGAGATCAGTGGTTGGAACACAACGTGGCTCTACTTCAACAATACTAAGTCAGAATGGCACTCTTGGATTGATTTAAGGGGCAATTTAACTGTCTTTAATTTAGAAATTTATTTATTACAAACTAACTTTTTGGGAAGAAAATAGTGGGACGACCAGAAAATTGCATGGGGTTGGAGAAAAACTGTCGTGCATTAGTAAGTGTGTTAGTTTGTCCGAACTTTCTATTCGCCAGGATGGTGTGACATTTCGGACGAGTAGGGGTGCAGCCTCATTTCGGAAATCTGTGCAGGTATGTTGTTTGGTGAAGCGAGCTATCAATCAGCTGGTAAGTCGCCAGAGCACGCTTATCAAAACGCTGTCATGGTTTCTCATGCAGTGACCAGACATGAATGCTGCCCGATATGAAAGATTGTCTTGCGCAATAAACAATTCTTCTATGAAAAAAGAGAGTAAGATTGGGTGTGCTTGTGAGGTTACATGATGAAAGGATACAAAAACGGCGCTTGCACACAGGACGAAGGAAGGACGTCATGAACACGGTGCTAAGAAAAAAAACGCAGTATACAAGTTATTTTTCAATAGACCATTTACAACTCAGTGCCACATATGTTAATTGCTTCCATCGTCCTGTGTGTAAGCGCTGTTTTCTTTTTGTAATGATAATTTCGGTGTATGCTTTCACAAAAAATATGTTTATGCATCCTTGTGAGTGTGGTACTCCACATCTTCTTGGTGTTTTAATGCGTGTGGGTTTCATGATGCGTATGAAATGGAGAGTACAACAGTGAATAAATGAATAACAATAGAAGTGCTAGGTCACACACTTGGAAAATCTTCGCACATAACAACCCCAATAAATAAATTACTTCAGCAGCTCAGCACTAATGAATAACGCTGAAATATTCAGCGGGTATGTTGGACCTGCGACCCTACATCATTGATTGATATGTTGAGTTTAACGTCCCAAAACAACCATATGGTTATGACAGACGCTGCGACTCTACATCAGGTAACCAGCGTGGAGTAGAACTGACCTAAAAACGAAAACACTGTGACATAGTACCAATGCTGGGAAAATATGCGCATGAATAGAATAAGACGTTCGCTAAGCCACTTGTAGTTAAAATAGTATTTTGATAAAATATTTTGCATGAGTTAACGAACTCGCTTTTTAGAAGAGCCTTGTAACACTTTTCTGAGTCATTATCAAATGATATCGGTGTAAAGGTTTATTACTTCTAGAATTGACTACCTCCACACTCATATAATCAGGCCTACTCAAGAGGAGTTAAAGGTTTTTGCTGCACCCTCAAAGCACTTTCTGATTCCGTCCCAGCGGGCTAGCTGAAAGCTGCACATGCTGAAGGGGAAGTAGATGCCTAGGGACTAAGTCCGTTGGTCAGCATGCGTAACCTTGTAGAGCAGGTTCATCATTTTTGCAGGATACTTACTTTCAGTGTGATCACAAGCGTGCTGCTGTAATTCTAGCATCAATGAGCGTAATACGAGCACATCTAAGTACACTGGAGAGGCCATGGTAGCTATTCATCTCACGATGCCCAAATAAGCCAATGGGGCAAATGAAGCAATTTTGGGCAGACGACAAAGATAAAGTTGGTTGTATGGCATCATTAATCCGTTGAGCCAGGGATTTCTAGTTGTATTTGGAGTTTGTTTAAAAATTTCACGCCTCACGCTGCACCATATTTGGCCCACATGCTCACAGGAGCCGCGAATATCAATCGCCACGATTCTCTCATCATGTTCAAAAAGCGTTGGGTGGCTGCTTTCAGACAATAAACCCTTCACAAACTAAACGTGATGTCTAATTACCGAAAAAAATGCAAAACAGACTCTCGGGGATTCAAGAATCAAGCGACAACAGCTCGCGAGAAGCATTGAAAGTTTGCGTCTAAACGTGATGTCTAATTACCGAAAAAAATGCAAAACAGACTCTCGGGGATTCAAGAATCAAGCGACAACAGCTCGCGAGAAGCATTGAAAGTTTGCGTTTATTTGTGCACTAGTGCTTCCAATCACCACCCAAACTGCCACCCCAGCTACTGCCACTGCCAAAGTTTCCTTCAAGTCCATTGCTTCCAAGTCCCCCACTGAATGATCCACTGCCAGAACTTCCGCCATAGCGTCCGCTTCTAAATAGACCTCCTCGAGAGCCACCTCCAATGCCGCCGAAAAGTCCACTTCCTTGTCCTCCACTGAGTTCGTCCCCGTTGCTTTCGCTGTCGTCATCTCTTCCAAATCCACTGCTTCCAAGCCTGCCTCCAAACAATCCACTGCCTGTACCAAGGCCGGATCTCCTACTGCCGAACAAGCCACTTCCGGAGCCTCCAAATATTCTGCCACCAAAAAGGCCACTGCTTCCTCCACTAAGGCCACCCCCGCTACTTTCACTGTCGTCATCTCCTCCATATCTACCTCCAAACAATCTACCTCGGGAGCCACGACGGGACCTCAGACGGCCGAGTATGCCCCTTCCAGAGCCTCCAAATAATCCATTTCCACCAAAGAGTCCCCTTCGTCTTCCGCTAAGTCCCCTCGAGCTGTCTTCACTGTCATCATCTTCTGAACCGCTACTTCCAAGTCGACCTCCAAACAACCCACCTCGGGAGCCAAGACGGGACCTCAGACGGCCGAATAAGCCAATTCTGGAGCCTCCAAATAATCCATTTCCACCAAAGAGTCCCCTTCGTCCTCTGCTAAGTCCACTCGAGCTGTTTTCACTGTCATCATTGTCCTCTGATCCACTACTTCCTAGCCTTCCTCCAAACAATCCCCTTCGGGAACCAATGAGAGACCTGCGCCCGGACCAGCTACTTCCCAATCCACTTCCACCGAAAAGTCCACTTCCTAATCCTCCACCGAGTCCACCACTTCCGTATCGACCACTGAAGCTGCCACCGAAACCACCAAGAGGTCCTCCCAAGTTAGAGCCCAAGGACAAGCTGCTACCCCATCTTCCCAATAGACCATTGCCCAAGCCCCCATACAAGCCTCGGCGTCCTCGACCTCGCAGGCGTCGCAGGAGACCCCTCACTCCTCTATGGGGGCTACCTTGGCCATACCCACCTCCCAAAGAGATTGCCAGACTGCCCAAGCCTCCCGAGTTGCCGAGGCTACCCCAACCACTGGAGCTACCCAATCCTCCTCCAAATAGTCCTTCCCCTAGTCCACCAATGGAACTTCGAAGGCCTAGTCCGAACCTGCGTCCCCTTGAACGGCCACCAAACAAACCGGCTAAGCGCCCTCCAGAGAAGCCTTGGCTGCCATCTCCTCTCTGATCCCAGTTACCTCCACCGAAGCCACTACCCCCAAGTGCGCCGCCGTATCTACCTAGCGAACTTCCATATCCACCGCTGAAGCAGTTTCCGCTTTGGCAACGTCCACCGTATCTGCTACTGTAGCCACCGCAGTAGCCATTGCTACATCGGCCGCCAAGGCCGCCACCATAGCTACCACCTCTTCCAAATGATGTTCGTCCTCCTAATAGTCCCGAAGATCCGCCTCCAAAACTTCCTCCGGAGCCAAAGCTGCTGCCTCCGTAACCACTTCTCCCTGAAAAAGAAGGCATGCTGTAAGAACATTTTGTGAAAATAGAGTATACGCAACTAGTGATCACAACATAAGAAAACTCTTATGGGAGCTTCAAGAACCACAGTGTTTCTCTATGAATAAAAAATGTTAGTAACTGTGGTGTGAAATGGCAGTTTCAATGCAGGAAATAATGTAATTCTAAGCATGCGCATTAAATGCTTTATCTTATTTAACTTTATATCTTACTCTGTCTTAATAAGTATTTAAAGTCTTGAAGCTTGCGTGAACCACTTCATCCCCTACAAGGGCACCTACAAGTAGCCCAGTTTTTCACCACTACAGTATGTCGGAGAAAGGCGAAAGGAATACAAATTAAATTGCCGCATTATATTTTTTTCACCCACAAAGGTAAAGTCAAAAAGAAGGCGCGAGGCCGTTTTTGTAAAAAATAAACTTTGTTAGGTGAATGCCTCAAGGGATTGCGGTAATACCTTATTACTATATGAATAATGATATGTATGTTAAATTGTTTTTCAGCGTGGTTTAGGTAAGATAACTACCGCTGCTTTACGCTTCAAAACGAGGACATTGTGAGGCGCGCGGTACTGAGGGGCTCCGGAAATTTCCACAATTTAATGTACTCTAACGCGCACCGACTTCACACAGTCCATGAGACTCTGCAGTTTCGCCTCCACCGGAACGTGGCCAACGCGCCCATGATAGAACCAGCGACATTCGTATCAGCATGCGAGCACATATAATGTGTGCGACTGGAAAGACGAGCGTGATTTTTCTATAGGGTAAAGGCGGTCATTGCGCTGTTCGAATTTCAGGGTATACGTGGAAAGTGTGGAGAACGCCACACCTCGAAATTTTTGGTACACAAACACTTCCAAAAATCATATAGTCTATAGTGTTATCTCTGTGAACAGTTTCTGGTGTCACTTGCAAAATGTTGAGAAATAACAAAGTTTGTTGGGCCTAATGTGAATTTTAGCGATGTCAGAGACAACGTTGTGTGTAACGATGGTAAATTTTGCAAGTCATCTACATTTTGCATCTTGACCTGATTTTTATAGTTATTGTACCTCTAACTACATTACATTGAACGAGTGGTTTCGTTGATGGATCCGTACTGATAATTGCGCCATCGGGAGATGATGTTATGTTCCTAGTGCTGCATAGGGCTCCAGAAAGTTCACTAAACATACATAGCCATGCACAGTATTTGTAGCCAGAGAAAATTCACCATAAGTGAATTTCACACCCATGACAAGCACAACCGGTTGCGTTACTCGCTGCTCCTACTTCAGAACAGCATCACTCTGCCTGCGTTAAAATTGAGTTTTACTAATAAAATTGCGTCTCTGGAGACCTGGAGTTCACTCCTCTTAACGCGAAAGTTGTTGATTCTGCTTATTTCTGACATGCCGCCAGTCCGCGAGCTTGGAACAGAATGGAAGTTGTGTCATTACTGCAAGACGGCCGAATAAGAATAACTTAATCTTCGGCAACATTGCGCGAAAAAACTAAGGGGATAAAAATCAACAAATGGACATGGGCCTCGAGCTGAGAAGCCGCTTATGAACTATGTTTTAAATAATTTTAACCTGCTAAGAATAGCACAATCGCTACTTCTTTGTAATGAGCATTACTAAATTCATGTTTCTGCATTGTAAATAGTTTATTTCATGAGCAAATATTTTGTTTTAGAGAGGCTAAAGATAGGTAAAAGAAACTAAGTAGATCAAATAGGTCGACATACAAGCGGAAATGCTACAGCGTTTCAGTCATCCTTCAGGTGCACGCATTGCTACACAGAATTAAAAGGTAACTGAAAGTTTTGATGTGCAAGTGTATTTTTTTTTTCAGAAAACCAGGGTGGAGGTGCGTTGTCTAGGGTAAAACAAATGGACAAGCTGCCACTGAACGTAACGAACGTCTACAGTAAGAATGCAGTATATCAAACATATGTATCAAACCGCTAAGCGTATGTAGACATTTGTGTACAACATTCCTGGGTGACGCGCTAGAACACACGTGCTAAGGCATACGCCACTTGTTGTAGCGGCACTATGCACTGTTATTTTCAAATGAGCCCCGAAAACACATTTCCAAACAGTCATCGAATGCCTCCATTCTAAGAAGTTATTGCTTCACAAATTGACCAACACAAAAGAATTCATCAATCGAGCGAATTTAGATATTTTTTGCACGCTACTATTACCCTCTTCTCTTGTTTAACGCTCGCGCTGAAAGCTAAGCAGCAAGGAATGGCACAGGGCGTTTTAAGTCAGGCCACGCACACGTCATGACCTTAAGCACTTCTTCTCTTTAGAGCGCAGCTTTTAGTCACCCGTTCCTGCGTTCAGTGCCTTCGTGGTCACCGTCAGTGTCGTAAACGATGGGCATGCAAAAGGTAAAATAAAAAAAATCACAGCATATTCACGGAGTGAATGATGATCAGTGGGGCGAAGTGTTCACCAGCCCATCCGTGCTTCCGTCCGTCCACGCGACCATCCACGCGTCAATCCATGCGTTTACACTTTGCATTGAGAGTATATCGTAATTAACGATTTTTTTTTCTCGAAAATTCCGCGTGCGTTCAACGTCATCGTAAACGAGCACGTGTGAACGTGGCGACTTCCAATGGAAGAAAACGTGACGATAGAGAGCTCACGTATCTCCAATCAGCCAATTATCTTTAAATTCGATACATGGCTGCTCATTTGCGTACATGACATCATTTGTAGAAAGAAGAGGCGAAGATTTATGACACACTTAGATAACTAATTGCCAGTTATAGGCCGAGTGCTACGGTGTAAATCTTGGCTACGTGTTCTGAGGAGCCTCGAATACGGACTAGCAGGTTTTTATGATCACATGAAAAAAAGTACTGCAGGGCTTTATTTAAATACCGCAATCCAACATCGAGGAAGATTGTGGAGGCACTATGCATTAAAAAAAGATCTGGCAGATCCCTAGCAGTGTGGGAATCGACATCATGCGATAGCCTCAATGCTACAAAATGTTACGTCAGTGCAAGTTTAGCAGTTGTCAGCTCATCGTGAGCTTGTCAGTGAAAGATGGCAAGAAGAAAAAAGGCAGGGAGATTAATCAGGCGAACGCCCGGTTTGCTACCCTGTACAATGAGGGTTCAAAAGAGAAAGAGAGGAAAGAGAAAGAGTCCCGGGTGGGCTTGTCAGGCACGTTGGCTACACTGTCGTGCACAGCGCAGTTCAGGGTCTGATGAAACGCGGGCTCTCACATCGGAGAGAAATCAAAGTTTCATCGCACTGAAATGCACGCTACGGTCCGATGATGCCTTTATGATAAGTATAAATTGTCCGCCTATACGAGCAACGTTTCGCGTCAACTAACACAGTGAATGCTTATTCCATTGTCATCAAAGAAGATGGCCGAAATATTATTCATGTCATAGCGTGTCAATCGTGTGTAATACACTCATATCCTCTACCGAGAATTTTTTATACACTTCAAATTATGAAGACGAGCAAAAGAGCGCCAAAATGTAGGTTAATAGATAGATAGATAGATAGATAGATAGATAGATAGATAGATAGATAGATAGATAGATAGATAGATAGATATGAATGGTATAATTTTAAATTTTTAACGGTAAACGTCTAGCCTCCGTGGTAGCCTCGTATAACTCTCACGTGAAAGCCTTAAGAGTTCGGCTTATCCCTAAAACACGAAGACGTGCGCTATCTGGTGGCGTCGTTTGAACACTTACCATCATGCGAATGTCATATTTTCAATCTGCTGCTTCTTTTCCGTGCCATCCAGGTTAATGATTTTTACAAATATCCTTAAAAAGCTTTAGCATATAGGGGCAAAAACACTGCGCATGAGCATGACGAACAACTGGTTTGGTCTAATAATATTGAATGGGGCTTAACGTTCCAAAACCACCATATAACCGGTTTGGTCTGCTCATCGGTATATTCATCTTAAAATTTTTCGTTTAGATGTTTACTGACAAAATTAGAAACATTGTGCTCATATGCAGTGATCCGCAGCCTAGAATTACTCTTCTTTCTTAAGTCCTATGACCGAGTTGAGGCAGTACACAGCATTACCCAGACAATCGACATTCGGAGGTCCACTGCTCATGAATGTGGTCGTTAAATAAATCACGCCTTGTCTATTCCTACAGTCTGGTAAATTGTGCAGTGGTGTGCTAAAACTATGGTAGGTTCGCAATTGTTGTACAATAACTGTTCGTCTGAACGTTTTCTTGACTGCCATAAAATATCTACGGTGCTTCGAAGGGAAGAAAGTTCACAATAATTGTCGTCAAACGTAGTTTATACATACTGTAGGCATGACTGGCATGGAGTCCATGGCAGGCTGGAAAAAAAAAATAACGATGGTGACATAGCCTACATGTCCATGTTTATCACTCATTGAGGCTAACTGTAACACCTGTGTTTCTAGAACTAAACTCGGTGGTAAATACGATAAGCTTTTTGATGCACCAAAGTCTGCCGGCAAAAAAGTTCTGGAAATGTCCTTCAGGTAAAAGGAACACTGCTATGGGTTCTGGTATGATAGAATATCTACACATTGATATAAGAGGTACTTAAACTTACATTATTAGGCAGTCTACATAAAATGTGAAATTTTTAACATGCCACAACACGAGGTTTAAAGCAAATTAGAATGCAAAAATTTCTGCTCTAAAAGAAGTCCTCAAAAGATTCTAGGCAGGTGCAAAAACCAAACGAGGGAAATTACTTCTCCGGTGATAAAAAAAGTACAATCAAACACACAGTGCGTGCCATTGCATGTAAAATGTTTCAGTGGTTCAGAAAATTACAGGAAAATTTTGTAGAAACTCGTAGTTATGTATCAGAACAACACGAAATAATATTAATAATACTGTAGTTTTGCAGTTCAAGATAGATGTTGAATTGCAAACTTTCATTCAGATAATAATTTTTGAACGCTTTTCAGTTAGGAGGATGCTGAGGGAGCTTTCAAATGAGAAAG